GGTCGCATTTTTTTGCCTTTATAACAAGCCTAGCGGCAGAGTTTTGAACTTTCTGCAGTTTTTCTATGAAGTGTTTCGGTGAACCTGACAGTAGTGAGTTGCAAAAGTCAAGACGAGAGAGAACAAGAGCACACACTAGAGTTTTTGTTGCGCTAACTGTGAGGTAGTGGCGGATGGAGCTGATCTGACGGATAGCGGTGTATGCCGAACGACAAATGTGAGAGATATTTTTATCGAGAGACATGTTGTTAGAAGAATATAACCAAGATTCCTAGCAGGGGGTGTAAACCGTAAGTCACCTACTTGAAATGAGGTAGGAAGAGTTGAGTTAGAGGATAATTTGTGATTGTAAATGATGAGTGCTTCTGTTTTGTAATCATTAAGCTTCAACTTTGCTGAGTGTCATCCATGACTTGACATCATCAATGCACCCCTGCAAAGTCTGGACAGTGGAATCGACAAGAGATGGATGGGTATACTTGTATCGCTGCATATCATCTGCAAATGGCTGGTTCTCAACAGCATGCCTCCCAAGCTAGAGGAGCTGTGGCCTGGTATACATTATGAATAGAACCGGACCCAAAACGGACCCCTGTGGCACTCCGTACACCAAATCAGCACTGCCGGAGAGACAGCCATCAACAGAGCCCACTTGCGTTCTATCAGAGAGGTAGGACCAAAACCAAGACAAAACTGAACCAGATATTCCAAAGAAATTTTCAAGGGTTTTGGAAAGGATTTTATTGTCAACAGTGTCAAAGGCCGCACTGAGTTCTAAGAGGATCAGAATGGAGACATTCCTGAGCCCTACCTTAGCTAAGATCACCTCTGCCGACCGGCAAACACTGCACCAAAGGTGTAGAAATATGAACTAATACAACAAATTTATATAGTGTTGTAGTAAATTTTACATCAATAAATAATATTAATATTGGATGACTGAATGTGGAATGATTCGAAATGTAACTAAACTTAATCAGTCTACAAAATCTGAAAATAATAATTTATTTCTTGTGAACATTTTGTACTTAATTAACAGTAAGTATATATCTTTTTAACACATAGCATTTTATTTGCTTATTAAACACGTGTGTACTATTTGAATACATTCTTAAAGGACCGGACTGTTACATGAAGTCAATAATGACCAATACTGTAGTTTTATTGTTCCTCTCAAATAAATATCACACCAAACCCGAGATGTACTTAATCGCTTTGATATGTTTGCACGTTGTTTTTTTTTAAATTGTTTCTTTAACCTTAAAAACACTGTTTAACATTAAATATTTGCTTTTAAAGGTGGGCGATTACGATAGCAATAAAGGCATTATGTTTAACCCACAATGAGCAATTATCAATACAGAAAAAATTAGATTTTTACAGTAACAAACAATTAAGCTGCATTTTTTTTCTTCAGCATTTATAGCCCTTTGTTTTCTTCAGAATTTATAGCCCTAATTCGAAAGATTTAAAACGTTAACAGTCTTTAACATTGTATTTTAAGGATTAAGACGAGCATGAGTTGTACAAGAAAGCGTTAGCCGTTTTGAGTAGTCATTTTCTAAGTTTAATATATAAAAATAGTATTTCTCAACTAAAATGCGCTTTAAGAAGGAAAGCGGATAAAACATTTAAGATGGTAAGAATTCTATTAAAGTGTAAACAGAAATTTCTTTTATCAATTGTTTCTTTTACGTGCGTATTGTTATACTGGCAATCGCAGAATGGTAACAATAACAGTGTGAATATTTTACACTTCTATAGCTTTAATGAATTTCATAATAAATCTTTGAATTTTAATGAAACAAGCGATTATTTTACAATCAAAGAAAAAGATGAAAGTGATTTGACAAGACAATACATTGCTGATCTGTCGGGATTATACAAGGTTTCTGTGGTAAACTGTTCACGTTTGTTTACCAGAGACAACAATTACACACAAGACGTTATAAAAAATTGCCCAATTTCAACGAAACACTTACAGATGACTACTACATTAATTTAACTAAAAACTGTGAAAGTTTTCATCAAAATAGAGGATACATAATGCCATTTTTGACAGAAGAAGAAAGAGAATTTCCATTAGCATTTTCCATTTTAATGTTTAAAAACTCAGAAATGTTGGAACGATTGTTGTGGGCGATGTACAGGCCAAAAAATAAGTATTGCATTCATGTGGACCTAAAGTCGTCTGATACATGTTTCATTTCAATCTCTTCTATGGCTAAAGGTTTTTCTAACATTTTTGTGTCGCGTAAAAGAATTAACGTAAATTGGGGAATGTATAATCTATTAGAGCCAGAGCTGTTGTGTATGCAGAAACTTTGGCCATACAGAAAATGGAAATATTTTACAACCTGACGGGACAAGAGCTTCCGCTAAGAACGAATTTTGAGCTGGTGAACATTCTGAAAGCTTACAATGGGGCTAATAATATTGAAGGCATCAAAAAAAGGTATGTTATTTATTTTTATTAATTTGTCACGAAAAATATCTTTTAATCTACAATATCATTGGATGATATGAACATTTTAAAGACATGTAAATACATCCTATAATTTTCTGAACAAACCTCACGAGATGATGTAGATATTTTCAAAAGAAACAAAAGTATTATTTAAAAAAAGTAATCTTATAAAATAATGCTCCAAATCATTTAGATTATTTGAATATTACATTTTGCTACTTGCATTCTTTTAAAAAAAAAAATTGTATTATAATACCATCCAAGTTATGTGATTTCTCTTCAATGCCTCTCATAAAATAACAAAAATAGAGAGATGTATTTGTTTACTTGATCATCGAAACTGTCTCCCTATTATCAGATAGCCTAAGCTTTTGAATGCCTCTATTTAACCTAAAAAAGGGTAAAATGTTGCGTGCAGGTTTGTTGAAAACGTTTAAGTCTTGTCTCCGAATACATGGCCTGAAACCTGTCGGACTAACTTTTTTTTTTTATATAATCGTAGAGGTCCATCATTTTTATAGCCTGTAAGTTCGAGAAGACGTTTTACATCCCAGTGGAAATGAAGATGTTTTGAATTATTTCTTCACAAAATTGCCCATAAACTGCACCATTTTCTGTGTCCGAACTTTTAGATTTGCTGGACTGCATGGTAAGGAGACAGGTAGTTTTGGAGCAGAAACATTAATATACTAACACTAATGAACAGCTTAGTGGGCATTTAAACTGAAGAATAGATAATCCATAGTTAACATATTGTTAAGTAATTTAAACCAAAGTATCTGATGAGCACTTTGATAACTCATTTCAAATTGCAACTACTTCCAACATGTAAGTAAGTAAATTTAAATTAATTCAATGCGTTATTTCATTACTTAATACAGAAAATGGAAATTAATGAGATTTTAATTTTTTTTTTCTTTGAACTAAATGCTTGTATATTTGTCTTGTTCGAAGTAGCTGCAATTGATAATTTATTTTCAAAGTGCCCATCAGATACTTGTGTTTCTATTGCTATTGTTCGTTTGATTCATCCTTTTAAGTATGTGCACAATACTGTACTTTCTTTTAAATAACGGTGAAATTAACAAGATTTGATTTGGAAGAAGGATCGTTTTCCCTGTAGTACTATTTATCGTATGGCTCGATCCGGTTAAAAAACAAAAAGCAAGATCGGTGTTTTCTTCATGTTGAATGTCGGATTCAGTGTAACATTGCAGCTCTTTGCTTCCCATTGAACATAGCCAGTTAATGTGGGTTTTTCCCCTCATACAAACTCTGTTACTACATGTAATTCCTCTGTCGTCCTTTCGGATACTACATGGCAGCTAAGAGTTATTTAATAAAATATATTTTTGCTTTTATTGCCGATAATGTTGTCGTATCTTAATGCGTCATTTCTTTGGGTATTCCCATACTTTTGTTTAGCTTATAAAAAGTCTACAAAATCTTAAAATAATAATGTATTTCTTGGGAACATTTTGTACTTAATTAGCAGTAGGTATATATCGTTTTAAAATATGCCGATAATGTTGTCGTATATTAATGCGTCATTTCTTTGGGTATTCCCAGAGTTTTGTTTAGCTTATTTCCTATACAAATTTAGTTACGTCCGTCCGAAGATGCAATGACATTATTAGCTTGTGTAGATTTTATTGCTTGTCTCTGTCCCCAGAGCTTAAAATGTTTTCAACGACCAAGTACATACGAATGACATGCTTTTACAATTCAGAATTATTCCAAAGAATTGTTTATTTCCTATGGCTAAGTGTCATCATAAAATTTTCGTAACCACTTTTAAAAAAATATCTATTATACACATTGCAAAAATAATATATTTACTTTACATTTCCACCTTTAGAGCAAACAAGATCGATGGCAAATAACCTCTCTCTCTTCGGATGAAGACCAGTGAGAGGATCCGTTCACATAACTGTCAGCAGGTACTTCTGTCAATAAATACAAACGTAAAATAACTACTTAATTACATTTATTTCAGGAAAATGCTTGGGATACTTTTGTTCTTAAAAGAAAATTTGAAAAAAGAAGTATATATATATTTTTTTTATCCAAAAATATTTTTAAAACACATAATGCAAGTCTGGCAATGAATCAACAATGAAAGTTGTTAATTTATCCTCAAACAACTTCATATATTTTAACAGTGGGAATACGTCCTTTTTTAAATGGAATGTTTAATTAAGGTTCCTTATTTGGAAATTTAGGTCAGCATTACATTTCAACAAAATCACAAATCATAATGTTTTAATTGCAAAATATTTTTGTTTGTTTGTCTTCACTACATTTATTTTTTTTTTAATTGATTTTGAAAGAGTCTAATTATATTGAGTTTTGATGTATCAAATATCTTTATATCAAACATTATGAATTATTATTTATACATAGTTTTCATTGTTGATCTTATTTCGATGGATCTCTATTTATTTAAAATATAGCGTTTTTGAATTTATTTGTGGGTTTTACTCTCCACATATAGACAGCACTAACTGTTCTAAACTCGACCAAAACGATTTAAGTACCCGGCGAAGCTTACTTTTCAACTCTGAACTTTAAACCCCAGCTTGGCTTGCGTGGCACTTATAGAGGTACAGTAGTGGTTAAGAAACAAATTTTATGTACAAGTAATGGCACTTAAAATTATTCACTTAATTGGTAATAAAACTGAAGTGACTGTACGAGGAGTGAGTAATTTAAAAAAAATTTGTTATAGAGGTACAGCCTGAAATAATGTTTGTAGTAAGCTATAATATATAAATAAGCTAGTAGTTTAATGAAAAACAATATGTAAAAATTACATTTTTGGAAATCAGATTGAAGAAAGATCTCTTTAATATCATACTTGGCTAGGTCATAATGCTTGACACTTTTTATTATTATCACGTGAGACAGACAATATGGAGGACTTCATGGCAAGGTACAAGATTTGGTCTGAGAACAAGACCGTATGCGCCAGTCGTTCTAGTAAAACAATTTGTATTCAAAGTACAGGTAAATGTATTAGGCGGATCAGATAAGTTTGCAGGCGGCAAATGTTGACGTGTAAAGAGAAGCTAAAGTTAGAACAGGGTTTTTATCATTATAAATACATCAAGTCAAGACAGGCCCTTAAGGGAGAATATGTCATTGTAATCGTGATGGGCTGTAGCTTGGAATGTTGTATTAACAAACTTTAAGATGGTTTCATCGTATGTAGTCATTAAATTTGCTTGTTTTAAATTGAAAAGTATAGAATGTGCTGTAAGCCATCCCTTTCTTTGGTCTGGGGACAAAAATCATCATATCATATCATTATACAACATGTATACTTTAGATGAAAGCATGTATCAACTATATATGTTTTTTTTTGTTTTATTATAATCTATCATATTTTTATAAACAGGTGACCTGGGTCGTCTAGCAAGGGCCAAGCATCTATTTGCCAACAAGTTCTACCTAGAGGAAGACCGTGTTGTCATTGAATGCCTGCAGAAGAAATTGTTCAACGACACAAGGGATAAATATTTGGGGACTAAAGCGTTTGATGAATCTTATCACGCAAATTTGTTTTTGTTTTTTTCAAAAATCAAATCTTATAAGAACAGTTTAAATAATCTGCAAAACAAGATGAAATGTTAAAAAATAAAAAAATAAATTGCAATAAAATTATTGGTAAGTTTCAGCTGTATGCCTCGGGTAACATACAATACAATTAACAACGTATACATTTGTTAAAAAAACCACATAATTTACGTTTTTGAAGACCACACAACTATGTCCATGTAGCTCAGTGTCAAGAAGGGGAAGCACTCTAAATGTTTAATCAGTGTTGTACATATCCAAAATGGCCGTTCCCACAAAAATCTGTGGTCTGTACTTTCGATTTAAAATAATTAAATGTAATTATGTCGTTGATTACGATATATGACGCTTTGCCTTCCACTTTGAGTAAAGAATATATGTTTGTTTTTTTAAATGAATAAGATCTATATAAAAAGGATGAAATTGATCAGATTATTTTTAATTTACAAAAAAATTGGTCTATTGTAAAAAATAAGTTAAAAAATTATTTTGATATATAAATAATACAGATAGATACAGAGTAGCCAGCTTAGGAATAAGTGAGGCAAGATTGACAGGAAACGGACAGGAAACGGATCTACTAGACTAACATCTGGGAAGTGTATTTTATACTCTGGTCGTGAAGAAGAAGGTGCCATACACAGTGAAGTAGTAACTCTGATACTGTCATCTGCTGCAAAGATTTTCTTACACATGACCTAAGATTTAGATCAAAATGTAGTATGAGTCATGTACTTAAATTCACAATTCAAACACGCTTTTTAATTATGTTCAAGTTCAAACAAATACATTTAATATACACGTGCCAGAGTTATCTCCTGCTGTCCCTGTTTCTTTATATTTTAAATTTTATTTCCTGGCTTATGGTGACGTGCAAGTTTTAAATTCCTAGTTCAGGTTTGTTACTTGATCACTAATATAAAGACAGACCGAGAGATAGAGAGATACAGACAGAGATAGAGATGGAGAAAAACTGAGAAAGTGAAAAATAGTAAGAGAGAGAGAGAGAGAGGGGAGATAAGGATTGGGAAGACAGGAAAGGCATAGATAGGGGCGAATATTTGAGAAATAAAAATAATTATAGGGAAGGAGAGAAGGTGGGTAAGAGAGTTTAAGAGAATAGAGATACAGACAAGGGAACAGAGAAAGAGAGAAAGAGAGAGAGAGAGAGAGACCGAGAGAGACAGACAGAGAGGGAGTGGTTTAAACAAAAGAGATTTTAGAAAAAGCCTGTTGAAAGGAGATAATTTTATACACGTTACCTTGCGTAACAATTACCTCATGTCAATATACTTTACAGGATGGCTATGCAATCAGTGCGAACTGAATTATTGCTGTCAGGTATGTCCACTACCTGACTTTTTGCTGTGCAGTCAGGTGTGCCCATACATGCGACTTTGTGATGGTTAAATCAGGTGTCCAGTCAATGACTTCATGGATGTAATGTCAAGTGTGTTTACACACATGACTGACTGTACGAAGCTTACTCCATGCGATAACAAACCATTTCTGAGCCTGAGTTCAACTTCAGATGTGCATCAAGAAGTAATTTAATGTTATGCTATAAACTATATAAAACTTCGAAAAAAAAGTAAATTGTAAAAGTTTTCGAGGATTGGTGCTACGCCTCCACTTCTAGATCACCTGGATATGGTTATGATTGTTAACTTCGATATTGAAATGAATTTGCGCTAATGGTTTCAGACATTTGATCGGTGGAGAGAAGAGGTACATTTCAGGGGTTCTGGGTGTGCAGGTTCGGATCATCTATTATGAACACATTAGAATATTGGTGTACAGGGGGAGCTCTGACTACAACTTCACACCCCCCCCCCCCCTTTACATGGATACACTTAATTCATCTCGGAGGTGCTCCCAGGAGCGTAAATTGTTTTTCCCTAATTTTTTATTTTTTTCTAATAAATCGGTGTAATCAAACTGAACAGAGGAAATAAAAAGGAAGAAATGGTCATGTGAATGTGTAGTAGACTTTCTGTATAGATTTCTAAATTATACTTTTAAAGTTTAATAGATATAAAATCTTTATATTAATTGTAATTACATAAATCTTTGACTCGTTAAAGCCTCCAATAGATGGAACATTTTATCTTGGAATATTTTTCTTTTAATCAACATTTAATGAATATTCGTCACTACATTATTCCTTGTTACGCTGCATAGGGTCATGTGATACACCGGGTTATATCACTACTTATGTTATCTTATATTATAACTATAATTTACTATAATTCTCACACATTGTCACACTGTGTATGATTTAATAAAATGAAAGATTGTTTCCATTTTTATTGAAACAAATAATATATATAAATATATATTATTTATTTGTAACAAATTAAGTGTACTGTACTTTTTTAAGTTTCAAAAAACACTTCAATTCAAATCGAATATACACATATCAAATGTGGTAAAATATGGATCTTCTTATTTCTCTTTCAACATGGATGACTTTTGTACCGCGCTTCAAGCCTTTGGGGATGAAGCCTGATTTTCAAATAAGCTTTACTATTATTTTTTATTATTATTACTGTATATACAACCTAATTTTCTCCCCCCCCCCTACAACCCCCAGCTCCCCACACCTAAAGCCTTGCTTCCTTTCACTCATCAACCACAACCAACCCACTTTCTTTTTAAAGGCATTCTGTAAAAACCCTCGTGTTTAGATTTATTTGTGGGATGAGTTTCTGTTTCGTGTACTATTTTTAGCACTTAAGAAAACACAGGGCATACACTGAAAACGGGAAATTCCACAAACGAGCCATCCATAACCCTAAAGAGATTTAACATTTTCAGACCAAAGTTCAAAACCGAAACTTGAAGTCAAGAACATTAGAAGAAATGACATTTCAAAGTAAACAGAAATATTTTGACTGATATCATTTTCATGAAATATTACGAGCTGAAAAAAAAATGGAATCTTACCTTATCAGTATATAATCGAATAGTAAATTAAAGTTTTGATTTGACTGAGTCAGACACGTGCTTTCACCAGATTTACTGAGGGTTATATAAACAATAATTTGTTATCAACAAGGTATGTGAAATTATATATCCATATATATATACACACACACACACAAACACACACACACACACACATACATATATATAATATATATATATATTACCAATATACATCAACGATAATTTATATATATAATATATATATATATATATAAATTATCGTTGATGTATATTGGTAATATATTTGATTGACACTGATGGAGTGTGTAATCGATGACGCTTTGTGGCCGCGAATTCCACTGTGTGAGTGTAACAACACAAAAGGCAACTTTCCTTGTTACAGATTTTTAGTTCAAATTATGTAGTTCAAGATAGGAAGGTCGCAGTATCAACAACATGTCCATGTTGCGAGTGTTCATTGGTTTGATATGTTGGATTGGGACAAGCTCATGTCAAGGTCAGTAAGCATAAGACGGTTTAATTTTTATTTATGTTTTTATTTTTTTGGGGAACAAACCTAATATGACGAGCCGTCATTGTATAAGGTAAAACAAACCTAATATGACGAGCCGTCATTGTATAAGGTAAAACAAACCTAATATGACGAGCCGTCATTGTATAAGGTAAAACAAACCTAATATGACGAGCCGTCATTGGGTAAGGTAAAACAAACCTAATATGACGAGCCGTCATTGTATAAGGTAAAACAAACCTAATATGACGAGCCACCATTGTATAAGGTAAAACAAACTTAGGTATACTTTTCTTATATATTCTTTGCGTAGAAAACAAGGGAAATAAATAGTTGACTTTTGGTAAAATTTATTTATTTATTAAAATCCAAAATGTACGATTCATTACAACAGTGTTTCCTTCTCATTTCTCTTCAAGACGCTCCCTTAGCAATGAATTTCACATACCAGATGTACGAGAACTCATCCAAGGTACAAGTGACTTTGACGTGCCTGGCAACAGGTCTGTTTTTCAATGCCATCAGTGACATTTTTATTGTTGTTTTTTTGTTTGTTTTGTTTTTAAACTTGATTTTTTTGGATAATAGACATTTTAATTAATCAACTGTTGACTATTTAGCCTATTTTTTAAATATATATTTTTTGTTATTGTGTTTTTTATTATTTTAAAATAAAAATTCCCCATTTTTATTATTTAGTTTAGATTTTTCTAATCAAATAACAGATTTAAACTTTACCACACGCTTATTATAAATTGTCATGCAAAATATCATTTTCATGGTTTACTTTGCTGGTCGTTATCTCTGGTTTTAAGTTAGCGGCATAGGATCGGTTTTGTGAAGTTTGCGTTCAGTATAGCTAGGGCCATTTTTAAACAAAATATTATTATTTTTTTTCAAAAATATGAGTGGGGAGCATTTCCAGCAAACTGTAGAGTACTTTCCGTGGAAATTTTCGGGTGACATAAAACTTGCCCCAGCTGCGCCCCTGATTTGACTGATGTGGAAAGGAATACTTTCTCTACAGTTTGGGTTTACTCTACAGGTTATCCCGAAAAAATGACACTAATGAAGCTGGGAGACAACTCCATGGCACAACACATCGTTCGAAGCCGTCACAAAAGTTATCTGCTTTGGAAAGTGCTGTTGCTAGACGCGTCGTGTCATGACGCCGGAACATACAAGTGTGCGGTCACCGGACAACATAACCTGTCCACAACACTCGAAGTGCCACAGCATATGTTGAGTACGATAATATGTGTATTTTAGTTGTCTTTATGTGCTGAACAGATATATATATATATATTTACTTTACTTTTTTTATTTTCCAATCAGAAGTATATGATGTTAACTATGTTTTTTTAAAATTAAAATAAGTATGTTGCTCTTCTTGGAATGAAATATGAATACGGGCGTATAAGGCGGAGGGCTAATCACAACCAGAGTTGCACTTCTTATTCTATTAAAGGAGATGAGATGTTTCAGATTCAGATGTATTGGTATTTTTCGTGTGGGGGAGCTGAAAAATTCTTGCTCCACCATCAGAAGGCACTATCCTTTGTGTCGTGACCGATATGGAAGTATGTATAAAATTAACAAAACAAGATTATCTAGGTCACATTTCATCACACTTGTAAGCCTTGATTTAATCCAAAATATTTTTTTTGTGTGTACAAGGCAAAGTAATGCTCGCTGGCCAGGGACCAGCATTTGTGGGAACGCTAGTTTCGAACTGTGATTTTTGTGTGCTTCTTAGAGTTACGGCACAATAGTTGCATGAAACATTTTATAGGAATATGGATCACAGAACTCAGTTTATTAAGGGGTTTTCCAGAGTTTCACTTGTTAATCTTGGTGACACACTAGAGTCACACATTGGAACCTGATTAAAAATATATCTTTTATCCTAGCACCGTCGTTTTATTTAATAGAATACATATATATATATATATATATATATATATATATATATATAAATTTTGAATTACTAAAACAAATAGAGTAAGGAGGTAGTATGGTTGCTAATACTTTTTAAAAAATGTCCTAAATTGTGGTCCCAAAGTACGTCACGGGACGCTAAAGTTACAACCGGATGTTGGTCACCGTATGCCTTCATACTTTCTTAGAACCTCTGTTTGGCAAGAAATATTTTTTACCTGGAGCCAGGTGCGTGTTAATATGCTCCGTATGAAAGTGTGATGGGTTTTTTCTGGTTATTCTTAATATATATAAGAGTGCGTTCAGAGTTATACGAATGATATAAAAAGATTACAGTAGAATCAAGCGTTTGAAAAAAAATATGGTAAAGTGTGTCCTTAGAAAGAAAGTGAATTACTCAAACGTTTCATTTTCTTACATAAATGTAATAACAAATCAACAAAAAACAAGTGTGAGCATATTTCGTGAATGTGTAATCTAACACCGTATTTTAAATTTTCTCCCATGGAAAGCTCTACAATTCATAATCTACCAAGTGTGAATGTCGTTACCTTTAGTGTACAACGTAATCAAATATAATATTCCTTTCCTAACCACAGAATGTAAGGACGGGAAAACCAAGCATCTGTTGGCGGTGCTCGTGACACTGTCTCTGACGTTGGTCATCATCGTCAATGGCATTCTTCTATATTTTGGAATAAGACGTATGCAGCTATTAGAAAATAATCATTATGTTAGAAGCACAGTTAAAATAGCATTAAACTTCATATTAAAAGATACGTTTTAACCATTGCTCACGATGAGTGTCGAGTCAGTGTGCTAGATTCAATTAATCAATAATGTATCAGTTAAATCAGTGGAGATACCTAAACTCTCATTCACCATTACATTGAAGCATAAAGCAAATATTGAAAGTAAAAAATTATTATTTGCAATATTTATTAACTAATTTTAAATAAGAATCATAATATGACTTATAGTATAAGTTCAGGCGAAACTTTATCTGTTTCTGTAATACTTCCAGTTTTTATCTGTATGTAGGTAATTTACCCACATTATGTAATATTCATCGATACATCCACCTTATGTTAATATGACATGGATGCATCCATCGTATGCCATTATGGAATGGATACATGCACATTATAGCATCTATTTTTCTCATTATAACATGGATAAATCCACATTGCCTTATAACATAAATACATCCACATTATACCTTTGTGACACGGATACATGCCAAAGAAACATGCATTTTCGAGAATTAACTTTTATTGTATATTTCCCTTTATTGTATCTTTCCCAGAAAAAAATCGCCACGAAAAAATAGACTATGTCAGGTATAAATTTGTTGTTTTTTTTAGTCAATAGATTAAAATTAATTTGGCCTTAGACACATTACTCCATTTTAATTAGAAGAAACAATGCATTGCTGAGATATTTGTATATGTTGCAGTGGTAAAATATACATATGAGTGTGCATACACACATGTTTTCGTAAAGAAACTCTATATATTTTTTACAATATGTTTACATTTTTCATGTAAGATATATCTTTTTTAACTATGTCGTCATTTTAATATCCCCAAGAAAAAAAATACTTCTCCTTTACAGGTGGACAGAAAACATGGTGTTTTCAGGTAAGTCTGACTGTTGAAACGAAGCGTTCTCTTTCTATTGTCCAGTCTTATACTTCAAGTTTCCACATACCTTGTTCCACTATTTCATGCATACAGCTTCCATGCAGTTCTTCAATTAATATCGCAAAAATTTTGACCATGCAGTAAATAAGTAGAACAGACAATGTGTAACTTATTGGAGTAATTTCAGGTGTCGTGCGTAATTTAAAGCAAACATTTAAATAGCTTAAATCTTGATTGATATGTTGCCTATAAGGAAACTAACAGAGCACATAAAAATAAAACAAAAACATGTATTAATCTTAAATACGTATTATCGTTCAATATTTTATCATTTTACAGGCAACAGGACCGAAATTGAAATGCCAATCGAAAATATGTCAGCCTGCCAAGATGATGTTGTACAGGACGATCAGCAGGCGGTGACCTCGTCCGAAAAGTTGACCATTACCGCAGCCGTCGCCTTACACGACAGTTACTATAGCAACCCTTCTTCCGAGACAGGTAGAGTTGAGGCGGTAAAGGAAGAGTCAGAACTAATCTATGGCACCACGTGTGAAGTGATGCGTCGTGAATCTCTTACGACCGAAGATGGTTATGAGAGCACGGTTGTCCTAAGAGAGAAATTAGGAGTTCAAATAAACGACTGCTATCATGAGTCCAGTCGCAAAGATACAACCTACGTTTTAGAAGATACGATTCCCTGTGAAGAATCTTCACAGATGGGTACAATGCATCGTCCGAGTTCAAATCGATTACATGTTAAATGTTTAGAGGAGCCCACAAGTGACGCTGTCAAACATAAATCAAGTGATGAAACATTAGAAGCTGGGAGGCGATTAGGATCAGTGGAGGCTAGTGACTTGTATTAGTTGTGTCGATGCTTTAAAATATATTGAAACATATGTTAATGAAATATATGTATAGAGACATACACAGACACAAAGAAATAAAACTATTATATAATAAAAGCCCGAGCAAAGATAGTGTTCAAAGTATGTATATGTGTTTATACGTGTATTTAGATTATGACGAGTATCGTCTACTGTATATCATATTCATACACTCTATCATACACAAGGGAGGTCACACACAGATTTAAGAAGTAGTAAACACACCCTCCCACGCGGTCAAGGAGTTTGGAACTGCGTGCGCGACAGGGTTCCTATCTACTGAGGGACTAGAGGCCGACCGAATTTCGGCTTCGGCTTCGGTTTCGGCGCCGAAAGTGGCCATTTTATCACTTTCGGCCAAGTTTCGGTTTCGGCCGAAACTGGAAAGTTAACTTTCGGCTTAATTTCGGTTTCGGCCGAAAGAGAAAAGTTAACTTTCGGTTTTTCTTCGGTTTCGGCCGAAATTGACTTAGACTTTCGGCCATC